TGTAAAGCAAAAGCCTTTTAAAAAAAGTATAATAGCCTGCTTAAACTGCTTTTAATCTTTAAATAAGCTTAAAAAGATATATTAATTAATTTTATTATAGACCTACTTCTATCTAAAGGGTATATAAATATTATAGTAGTTATTAATTACTTAACTAAGTATTAACACCTAATACTATGTTCCTTTATAACTGCCCTTAATATAGCCTAGTTATTCTACTAATACATATAAGTTTACTATAGCCTGCCTAACACAATTATATTAGACAGAGGTACGCAGTTTGTCTTAGCCTTCTAGGACAAACTCTATAAACAGCTCTAAATTATTCTCTATCTATCTACAGCTTTTTACCTAGAGACTAACAGCTAGACTAAGAACGCAAACGCTGTAATAGAATAAGTCCTACAAGCGTACACAAACTACTAGTAGGACAACTAAGTAAAATAGTTAGCTATAGCACAGTTTAAAGCTAATAACATAATATTTAAATTAACACAAGTATCTCTGTTTTTAGTAAACTATAGATACTACCCCTAAATAGGATTTAAACTACCTATAAATACTCTCTAACTAACTTATTAATTAGTATAAATAATAGATGTAAATAGACTTATTAATAAAATTTAAAACATATTTAAATATGTTTATAAAGAGCTTACATAAGCTTAAGCTTTTTAATAAGAGTACGTAAACTAATCTTAAACCCCCGCCCCTGCGTATGCAGCTGGCGAGAAGGTCTGGCTAGACGCTAGAAATATCTAAATAAACTAATAATTAAAAAAACTTAATTAGAAGAACCTTAGCCTCTTTATAGTAGCCTATATAGTCTTATTGCATGCTTACTAATTAATCCTACCTAACAGCATAAAGATACACCCTATGTTCTACGTATTATTGCTGCGCTAAGCAGCCTCTAAATCTAACTATCTACCTAGACAGCTAAACTTGCTACCTAAACCTATTATTATAAACAACAAACTAGAATATGTTATAAAAGACGTTAAATAGATTTAGTTTAACAAGAAGAAATATATCTATAAATACCTTATAAAATAGACTAGATACAACAAACTATTGTAGAAACCTGCAGAAGCCTTGTAAGAGAACTCTGTAGTAACCTAATTCTACGCCTAATACCTATCTAAACTAAACTTGTACCCTAATAAAGACAACCTAATGCTAGAACTACTAATGTAAAGAATTCCCTTTCTAATAAGAGGGGGGGTACTGTTATAGTATCCTCCCTAGATCCTAGACATAACTGTATTAGACGCGTACTAGAGTATTATTAGTGCACGTCTAACACAAACACAACACAACATAGACATAAACTTAAGCATAAACTGCCTTAACACTAACTAAACCTAGAATAGGCTTAATTTATACTTAAAGCGCTTAGACTTCTAAGCTAAGTATTTAATTGCTAATTTCCTCCTAAACCTTCCTGTTCCTTACACAACGTCTTGTACCTACTATAATACCTCACGTAGTAATTAAACTAGACCTCTGTAAAGCTCTATAACCTTACTCGTGCACAATTGTGACAGTTAGGTCTAAAAAATCTGCTATTTTTATTTTTAAATGTACTTTATCTGCTTCTTGCTTCTTTAATAGCTACTCTCTGCCTAGAGACTCCTAAATAACTTATACCTATTCTAAGCTTAAGCTTTATTACTAGCAGCAGGAAGGATAACTTATAAGTGTTAGTAAAAAAGTTTTTTAACTAGCTTATTAAACAATAACTAGTTAAAAATTACAAGGACTATATATAGGTAAAGGATGTAGTAATAAAGTAAAAGTAGATGTTAAAGGATCTTAAAAAGATGTTAATCTCTTAAAGTAAATTATATATAGTAGTAGTAAAAGCTCTATTTAGGTTAAAAGATAAGATAGTATATTATTTTTATAATAAGCTTTATTAATTTAAACTTAAATATTAAACTGCTTAAGAACTATTAAATATTTATAAGGTAATAAAGCAGAGATTAAGTGCTAAAAAGAGAATTTAATAGACTTAGAATTCTAATAAATGTAGGGTTTTTAGTAGCTAAATAAAGTTAATTAAAGTTTAATGTCTTATTATTCTACAACCTAATATTCTTATAGTCTCTGTTATCCTAGGAATCCTTATTGCAACTCTGTTAAGCGCTAATTTTAGCTCTTACCTAATTAAGCTTCTCTAGCTCTATATATAACCCTCTAGCAGCGTATGTAAAGTGTTTTCTAGCAAAATAATTACACTTACTGCTCTTAATTATGTCCTTAAGGAACAGGCTAAAGCTTATATACTACTACTAATAGTATAGATAGTTCCTTTTAATCTATACCTTTAATACCCTAAAAGTTAACTTAATAAGATTATAGTTAGACAAGTATAGTAAAAGGAAACAGACAACATAGCTAGCAGCCTTAAGAATAGTTGTAACAGCTTTATTCTAATAGATTAAGACGTTATTAAGGACTATAACTATAGGCTAGGTCCTGTAGGTTGCTTAAAGCAAAGAGAGGAAGCGTTGCTTAATCTAATTAATAAACTTTTTATAATTAAAATATCCTTCCTTTACCCCTATACAAGGCAGGTATCTGTTTACTGTATAGGCCGGGAGGATGGCCCACGTCTTCCCGCGCCTTATATCCTGAGTATATTAACTTTTATAGCCTACAGGCCTATAAGCCTTATGCTGCTAGCTAGTTTTCTTATTAAAGATAGACTTATTAAGAAACACTAAATTGTTCTATGTAAACTAACAGAGAAAGTAATAGTAGAGCTCTTAAAGCTCCTTATTACAAGCCTGTAAGAAAGGCTGTAAGGTACGCCTGCTCTATCCATGCTGGGCGAGGTAACAGGAGATTGTAGATCTATTAACCTTCACGCCTCTTTCCATCTATAGCTAATAGGCTTGTTTGTCCTGGTATCTCCATCTGCTGCAGATTAACTCCTTAAACAGAGCTTTGCCATCTTTATTGCTGATTTTAGAAGGTCTTCTAAGCTTTATAGTAGGTAGCTTATAGACGCTGCTATAAGCCTTAAGATTGTTCTCTACATTGTGAACTGCGTGAAGAGAACAACCCTTACAATTAGCAATTGCAGTTCTAGGCCATCTGAGCAGGAGAAACTAACAGATGTTTATACAAACGCGATTATTAAGCCCTTAGGTGCTTAGTTTAAGATATTAGGGTGATTAGGGCCGGCCAGGAAGGATGGAGACGCTATGAGCGCGATACATCGCAAACAAACGCGTTGTTACTCCTAAAAAAGTTAGTATAGGCGCTTCTCTATACAAACTAAAGGCTTTAACCTACCTAGGGCCAATCTAATTGTTATTTGTTGATATATTGGGAATTCTATTGAGATTCTGATCTCCCATACAATTTTGGTGGGGGAAAAAAAGATCCGAGGAACGCCAAGAAATTTCCCGATTTTTGCACACAATAGATCAACGTTCGTGTTACGCGTCGTTTTGTCAGATTTGCGCACCTACTGTCAAGACAGGAGGAACGCTTGACGAAAGCTGCTACATAGTACGAGCAATAAGCTCGAACAGTATGTTGCTGCAAATTGCAGCATTTTGCAGCATGTTGCAGCAAATTGCAGCATTTTGCAGCATTTTGCAGCATGTTGCAGCAGTTTGCAGCAAATTGCAGCATGTTGCAGCAGTTTGCAGCAAATTGCAGCAAATTGCAGCATGTTGCAGCAAATTGCAGCAAATTGCAGCAAATTGCAGCATGTTGCAGCAGTTTGCAGCAAATTGCAGCAAATTGCAGCATGTTGCAGCAAATTGCAGCATGTTGCAGCAGTTTGCAGCAAATTGCAGAAAATTGCAGCATTTTGCAAGCTGGTCGCGCATAGGGCAAGTGCGCGAGGGACTCGGATCGGCAAAACAAAAAGCCGAGCAACACGAGTAGAGCAGAAAAAAAGGATCGATAAATGAACACCATCAATACAATCAATCAATCATCCCATACATCATATCCAAACCCATCATTCATCTTAGGAAGCCCAGAAACAGTGCTTCAATCTAACACGTTTTCACATACAAATCAGCTACTTTTGTAAATTTAATAATGCTAAGTTAGTTTTCTAGCTGTAAGTTGTTAACTAAATTAAAGCTATAACAGTATGCTTAAGGGCCTATACTAACAAAAATTTAGTGTTGTAAGACTCTATGTTTTAAGCCTGCGGCGTCTCTAGAGCCCTAAACACACAACGCGTACTAGTAATCTTTTAAGAGTTAACTATTAGTTGTTGCAGCCTTAATAGATGTACGCGCGTTAACATATATTGCTTTTTGCTGTTAGGCTGGCCTTGTAAGGATATTACAGCGCAGGAGGGCGTCTCTTAGGCAGAGGTGTACTAGATTAAGCAGAACCTAAAACTTTATAGCAGCACCTAGAAACTGCGCAATCCTAACGTAAAGCTTAGCTAGCCACCTAAAATAGGCTCTAAGGATAAGCAGGCATTGTTTAATAAGCTATTTTAGAGTAGCTAGATGTATTAGGACAAGACAGCGTACTAGTTGTGGATAGAGAGAGGTGTACAGGTCTATTAGACAACTATCTCCTAGCTGCTGTAAAAGCGCAAGTAAAGTAAGTAGGTGCTTAGGCCCTTTTTAATTAGCTAAAATAAGGAGCTTTAGGAGTCCTATTATAATTATATAAGGCAGTTTACAGCTAATAATTTAGTGTTTCTTAACAAGTTAATCTTTAATAAGAAAATAAGCTAAAGGCACTACACATACGCCCTAGTAGGCTATAAGGCTTAGTACACCTAAGACGTACAACGCAGAAAAACATAGGCTATTTTACCTGCGTATACAGTTAACAGATATCTTCTCTGTACTAGCTTAAAAAAGGGCTACTTTAGCTATAAAAATTTTATAAGCTAGCTAAAGAGCTACCTGCTGCTAACTTTACACTTAACATACAGCAACTAGCTAATAGTTGTAGTGCTAGACAACATCTCTATCTATATAAACTATAAAGTTGTTTAAGTAATTAAATCTAAAGGCTATATAGTCTATTTTCTGCTACTATACTTACCTAACTTTAACTTAATTAAGCTTACCTTTAAAGTACTAAAGGCATAAATCTAGCATAACTACTTTCTTACTTAAGGCTAGTTTACTAACTTTAGTAACTTTTTAAGGTTATCTATCTAAAAGAGTTACTATAATTACTTTGTAAAAAAGCACTTTAAGTACATAGCTAGTAGGCTATATAAACTGTTAAACAACGCGCTACTTAAGGCTAGGCAGAAGATGTAGAAGTAGTAGGCGTGTAAAGGGTGTAAAGTAGAGGTAATAAGAGAGTAGTTTTCTAAGTTTAATTAATCTAATGTTCTATATATAAAAAAAGTACTAGTTAGTAATTACATAATAGCAATCTGCCTATTAAATGCTCTTACTACTACTACCTACACCACCTCTACCTCTACTAAGCCCTACAAGCCTCTTAGCAGCCCTATAGTACTCCTTATATTACTGTAAATTCTCTTGTAGGTGCTAAACAACTCTATTTTTAAGCCTGTACAGCTTACTAACTATAATTTTATATAACTTACCTCTAATATTTGCTATCTTTTTAAGATTTTTAATAGTCTACTTTTACTTAACTACTACTTTTTAAGCTTAAAAATAGTTATTATAATTATCTACTAGCTACTCTATAACTAGCTAGTTAAAGAACTTCTTTACTATACTACAAAAATTAGCAGCTATTATAGGGCTTAAGCTTAAAACAGGCACTTTAAGAGCAGCTAGTGTTACTAGCAGCTACTTAGTAAAGGAAGTAATTACTAGGTAAAGTAAGTAGCTAGGCAGCGTGTAAGAACTAGCTGCTAAGAGGTGCTAAGAATAGGCAAACAAGTAACTAAGTAGGGCAGCAGGTTAGCTATAAAACCTTATATTTAGCTATAAATATAGCGCTTAACAGTTTAGCCTTTACTAACACCTCTCCTCTATTCTATCCTAATACTCTTGCTCCTGCTCTATAGCCTACTCCTTAGCCTAACACTTTTTACGCTTCTACTGCTTACGCTAAAACTCTTTATTAAAGTTACTTAAAAAGCTTAGTAAGCTACTCTAACACTTTTTTTTACTCTTACAGCTGTTTTTCCTTAACTAGTTCCTCCTACCTGCTGTAGAGCGCTAGTAATTAATTAAAGTAAGAGGTAAAACAGCAACTAACGCAGTGCTCTTAATACACTTATTTACCTAGGATTTAGCGTTAGCTAGCTAGATTGCTAAGTGTTTAAAGGTAGACTATAAGACCTAGCACTAGTTACTAAAGTTGCTACACTAGCTATTTCTACACTCTTACATCTAGTAGATTTGCAACTTCTAGTTAGCCTAAAATAAGATTTGCTTAACGCGCTATATAACCTAAGCCTTATTAAGCAGTTGCTGTGTATAATGTAGATTTCTCTTAGCTAAAGTTGCAGTCTTAGGTACATTAGATAAGGGCTTATTAAACAACTAGTTACGCCTAAAGGCCTTATTAAGCGCCTTAACTTTTACTCTTACTTTAATTTTAACTTTTACTCTTTTAACTAGACTGCCCTTACTAATCTAATAGTTTATAGTGTTAAGTAATTACCTACTTTTAACTAAGCTAAAGTTAGTAAGCGTTAATTAAATCTATGTAGCTAAGCGCCTACCTAGCTTAAACTTAACTCTGTAGCTAACTATCTTGTAGTCTTGCCTGTTAATTATTAACTCTAGCATTGCAATTAGCTCCTCTACTACCTTCTCTACCTCTTCTATTTTAAAAAACACTAACAGCACTTTTTTAAGTAGCTAGGCAACAACACCTTTACTATTAATAATTAATTAATAGTAGATTTTAAAGTTAATAAGGACTAAGACTTATAAGGGGGATAAGAAGTTAACAACACGTTAAGCAGGCTATAGAGTAGTAACGTTGCCCTAGGTAGGCAGAGAGCCTAGCTAAGGCACTAAGGCGACAAGGGGTGGCAACAACAGCAGGTCTTGTAGCTCTAGCTCTGCTGCAGGAGCTCTAGTAACTAGAGTAGGACTCTCTAACAGGCGCGCTACTACTAAGAGCCTGTTAGCCTCTAGTAAAGAAGCCTAGCGTACACACCTACGCTGCGACTGCGTTGATGGGCCTCCATGAGCACCTCCTCAGGCGCGGCCACCTTCACGCGCTGCCCTAGGAGCAGTAGCAGCCTCTGTGGCCTTCTCTGTAGGCTTCTTAGCCCGCCGGGGCCTCTGGGTCACCATTTTACGACTCCTGCAACACCAAAAAAGCAGTTAGTATAGGCCCTTAGGCGTATATCTATAGCCTTAACTTAGCTAATAACTTACAAGAAGTTTAGGGCAAAAAACTAGGTTAACACAGTTAAATTCACAAAAGTGGCTGGTTTGTATGTAAAAACAACGCGTAACGCGAACGTTGATGTGTCGCCAAGGAAATCTACCGATTTTTGCACACGATAGATATAGTGTCTACCAGTGCGTCATCACAAACGCAACCTTCCTATTCCCAACAATTACACCAATCTACCGCATTTCATTGGGTACCTAGGGCCTTAAGCGGATGCCCCCTCTTCTGAATTGAGAACCCGCTTATATTCCGTCGTAAGCGACAACACGCAATAGGGCGGAACATGCAATCATGCGATGTATTTCAACTCTGTCGGAATAACTTATTCATTCAACTTAACGGAAGAAGAGACGTCCCAATGCGCCAAAAGAAAAACGGAAAAACCCCTTTTTTCCTTTTTCCCACAATAAAACGAACTCATGTAAAATTCATAGGTTAGATTAGATAAATCCGCTTTGAAACCTCGTCACAGCGATAATATGACCACCACGACGCAAAACGCACCTCGCTATGATCGAACACCCCAGCCTCAGGATTTGCAGCGGGCCTTTGACTCGGGGCTTCTCATCGCAGTCCGAACCGCATTTGGCACGAAACAGTTTTTCGATAATCTAAATACAGAAGCGAGGTTTGAGGTGGGTCTAGCTCTGGGTGTGTCTTGAAACGGACTTGAGACGAGGGGGTCACGGACACGGTTCCACGATCTGCGAACAGGGAAAGCTTAGAACCTTGGAAAGCTTAGCTAGACGTCAACCTAAGGCAACGAGGGCAGAATATGAGAATTGAATTATCAGTCATCAAATCTGAAAGAATTGGAGAGAACGATGCGAAGAGTATGGTGGAGACTACGAGAGGCTTGCAAGGGGAGGAGAGTAAAGCAATCACTAGTCTATTATTTCTGTGGAAATCAAATACGATAAGGAGCGGCAATAATCAGGTTCCCAAGTAGAAAACATCAGTCATAGCAGCGTTCCAGCACCGCACCTTGCAAGCTCCCCCCAACGTCCAAGCTATGCACGCACTATCTCTATTTACATATACAAATTTCTCCTAAGACTAGCAAGTCATGGCGATCATCTCGGCCGAAGCTAAGAGGAAAGATGGATGGAGTGAGTCGCTTATGCCGTGAAGTCGCGGGCGACAAACTCGATCTCCTCCTCCTGGTCGTCGTTTGTGAGAAGTGGGGCACCACGTCGGGTGACCTCCTCCTCCTGGTCATCGTTGCTGAGAGCTGGGGTGGCAGCATTCGCGGTGTTGCCTCCAGCGGCGCCTAAGATGGTTTAGCCAGTATAACGATCATTAGGAAAGAAGATACATACCAGCAGTGGTGGCGCCGGCTCCAGTAGCGGCACCAGCGGCACCAGCGGCACCGGCAGCTTGAGGAGTGGCAGCCTGAGCGGCGGGCGCTAGAAGCATGTTAGAACGGCATCGAAAAGGTTGGATACAAGCACCATACCAGCAGCACCGGCATTACCGGCAGCAGCAGCGGCGGGAGCAGCGGCGGGAGCAGCTTGAATTATCATTAGCATAGCAGTAGGAAATGTTGGATTCAAGGAACCATACCAGCACCTGCAGCACCGGCCATCTGAACTGGGACACATCCACCGAATGGACCAGCACGCGCTGGGTTCTGGCAACGGACCATGCAGACGTTGCTCTGGCCGGCAACGGTACCAGTGCAGGTCTGGTCAGCTGGGATAGCGGCCTTGAGAGGCAAGTCCATGACTTGGGTATCTGGGTTCCTGCCACGAGCGTTGCCATCGACATTCTGAGTGACCTGGATGGCAGTCCACTGTGTGCCAGTGCCGGTGGCATCGATCATGCAGGTGTATGGACCAGCGCCATCGGAGTTAACTTGGTGGAGAGTCATTGAGATTTCGCCACCGGCAGAGACCTGAGGAAGGGTTCCTCCCATCATGGCCAAGACCTTCTGGGTACCGGTCTGGACGTCGTTGGTTCCTCCACCAAGGGTCTCACCGCACTGATCAGCGGCTGCATTCTTGAAGCGGGTAGCATCTTGCTGGAAGGGATTGCGCCTCGTGCCATCGCGAGGAGTAGCGGGGTCGACTGTGTAGAGTAAGCAACAACCAGGGAACGATGCAAGAAAATAACATACTGCCGATGGCGGATCCTGCGCCGCCCTGATCACCAACTGCCTTGACAATTGCGCTGTGGCCTGCCACGAGCTGGCTGCTGGCCAAAAGGCCCATAGAAATGAGAGAAGCCTTGGTGAAGTACATTCTGAACCGGTCAAGAATGAATTATTAATAAAGTAGAAAAGGGTATTAGTGAATGGAAGAGAGTAGTGATTACTGTAGAAGCTTGGTTGGGAACGCTGAGTGCTGATGATGATCATTTCGAGAGAGATTCAGCGATCCTTTATAGGGCTCTCGTGTCTGTAGGCTCAGCACCCAACTATCTGGACAAACACCCGGGATATTCCATCCGGCGTTGTGTTGCAGAGATGAGTTTTGGCCAAGAGCCACATACACCCTGATCAAGTGTCGAAGTCACAGACTCAACCTTGGCAGTGATGTTGGGCCTCATCCTGCATCCGGTGACAAAGGCCGGCAAGGGCAAAAATGGTCGTCCAAAACAATGCCGTTCCTGTAATAGGGTCTTCTATGGACAGCTCTCAGACGTGGATGAGGCCTTAGGGGCTGTGCAAACTGAATTTCATTTTACCTCTATGGCCAACGAGAAGGCAAGGAGGCCCGAGATGAAACTATGAAGACAACCCAAGGAACCGACCTCAGAATAGTCCAGAGTTTTGAAACTGGAGACATACACCGAGGCTCAGATCAGCTGGAAGTGGCCATCACGGCATCTGTGTGTTTGGTCGGAAGGGCAATCCATGTCTGTCATGCATTAGGATCCCCACCGCCGCGAAAAGCTTGGCGGCAAACTTAAATTAGCCCAAGAGGAGTGTCGTAGGGAGAAAGGTACGGAAAGAGGTACAGAAATATTGTGAATCTTAAGAAGCGCTGTAGACGTTAAGAGAAGCGAGGCGCATTCTCGTGGAAATGGGCTTCGTCATGCTCCGAATAAACGAAAATGGTTGGATTAATGCTGTACTCTATTAATGGGAACAGAATATACGAGGAGCGAGAGAACGCATGATTTCCGAGAGGGCCTCTCGATGCGATCAGATTGGGCAAAAACCGGGCACATTCTGTTTCGAAGCTCAGACCTGCTATGCCGCCTCAGAGCCGCCTCAGATCTGATAATATGTTCAAAGAGGAATATGCCTCGGTTCAACCGACACGAGCTTGTTTGAAGGTTCCAACTTTTGCTGGCAGTATTGAAATGTGAAGCACTTTCCAAAGGAGAATATGTTTGGGTTGGGGTCTCGCTCGTCCTCTTTTAGTGTTTGGTTTCTGTTTGGTGTCGCACGGAGGTTTCATGCTGGAGAGCGTGGCTAAAGTATATGCGGGGAAGAGTTTCTGCCTTCCGGCTCGATTGCCTTCCGGTTTCTCTGCCATTTCCATCACCTGTTGGGGCGCCAAGGCATCGCCCCCGTGATGGCGGCGAGGAAGCTGAGGCGTGAAAGGAAAGGTCATGTCGGAACCCGAGTGATGGGAGTGTCGGAGGTCGGAAAACCGCCTTTCTGTTTGTGGTAAGCACGGTGGTCGGTCCGCGCCTCAACCTTCTTGGCAGTGCTCCGAGCCTCGGACAATCGCAGCACTTACCACAACCGTAAATAAGTAGTAAGTCGCCTGGTTTCCATGCGTCAATCTGCAATTAGTATCAAAGTGTGACGATGATCAATGCGACATGTTGGTATGCGGAAGTCCCCGGCTTCCTGAACATGATCCGTGTCGAAAGTCATCATGAGTGAATGTCCGCGCTGAATACTTTCCCCGTATTTTCTGTCAGACACATTCAAGCAGACATCGGCTATCGCATTGGTGGTGGCCATTCTCATATATCACCATATCATCGAATCCTTCGAGTAGTTACTTGTAAGCTACAGATTGTCTTACGATTCTCCTCCACTCTCCTCCACTCTCCTCCGCTCTTCCCTCTCCACTGAATGACTCGAATGAAGGAAATCACACGCTTGATCAAAGATCGCGAAAGATCGCGAAGATCGACCTTTTCATTCTTTGCGTATTAGGAACTCTTGATATTTCTCCAATCTTCTCCAATTTCGCCCTGCGAGGTCGAATAACATCAACGTGGGTCGAAGCAGACTGGTTAGTTTGCAACTTTGCATCAAAATCTAAAGGGCTGCGAATGGCAGCTGTGATCACCAAAGGCAAGAGAACCATTGTACCTTCTTCTAAAGCTAACTACATTTCCTTCTTTGCCAAGATGAACTTTTCAGGAGGCAAAATGGAGTGACTGGCGGCGGGCTCCTACTTGCTTCCCCTTGCGATCGGTGAATCGAGGGCTCCCTGCATCCGATACCTTTTATTACCAACGCCTCAGGAGTGCATTGCTCCTATTTTCTGACTATGCCTGATCCCTAGGCGGTGAAATTTCGCTTTCGGCCAGCGACAGTTTAGACAACGCGCCTTTCCCTTTCAATCGTTCCGGCGATCGCTTTCTAGTTCCGGTTGAACATTTTTTCAAACTACCTTTCCGCGAGTAGGACCTTCTATAATTCCTCCACATCCACTCGTCTTCAGCACCATGGGCTTCGGTGGCGCATCATTCAAAAGACTCGTCTAGATGACCAGGGTTGTCATGCTGTTGCGAGAATCGATGTTGCTCAGACAGCGATCTATAGGATCTTGTTCACCGGGTTACCAAAAATATTAAAGCGAAGCATAGTATATCTGCTTAGGGGTAGATGGTATGTGACCTTCCCCTAGTTTGACTAACTCTTCATCCTCTAATATGATCAGATTTGTTCAGCTACTCATCCCAAATTCATATATATGCCCAAAATCATGATCCCCTTACGCTTCGGAAGTCTTAGAACATGCCACCTAACAAGTGCTGCTATTTTTCAAGCTCGCTTGCGGTCTCATGTTGAAAATGGCTATCGTAACCCACTTGAAACTTCCCTTGGCAACCTATACGTCTGTTCTGATCTCCCTATCGCTTCCTCTCGTCGATTCGTCCGGGTCAAGTTTTAAGACTTTTTATTGTTTGGTACAAACAGAAGGTCACCTAGTTATAGTAGGTCAGCATTTATTATTGTTCGTTGGTTTTTTTATCTTTGAAAAAGGGGGTCACAGGGAGCGAACTTGAGCCGCTTCACATTCAACGCAAGTGACGTTAATGGTTGATCACTACCTCCGGTGACACTATTATTTCAATATCTGCCTACTAATTTGGGACTAGTGGCTATTCCCTATCAACTTTAACTCGGATTGGGCTATCTAACCCTTGCCTCCACTTTGTTATCTCTTTCGCTTTCACTGTCTTGAATTCTCTGGAAAACAGCCGCAATTTGTATTTGAGATCTTTACCAGTGGGTTTATGCTGGTTTTCCCTTTGAAGACACTCCTTCTTCCTCCAGATCCTCTAGGCGATATAGCAACACCACGACGGCGCTCTTGTACCCTATGCCCCACTACCGCCGAAACGAGATTTTGGAGCCTACAACCTCACCATGACCCGTTCGCCCGCCGAGAAGGATATTCCCCATACGACTGCCGAAGCGCTCTCGCTGACTGATATTAAGACCCGGAAGCGGCACGGAGGGCTCAAGAAGATTTCCCCGAAAACTCGCCCTATGAGCAGGTCAGGGCTGCTGTCAAAAACACAGATGGAGGACGAGCCATCAAACACGGCGAGTACGTGGAACAAACTTAAAGAGCTATGGAATGTTCTAACATTGGAAAAGGTTAGAGCATGGATCCTTCGGCTTTCCTTCGTGACTGTCGCATCTGGGTTGAACACGTTCCTTTCGTATGTGCCCAATATTACTGTAGTAATTCTATGTCCGGAGACCTTTGACTCCTTATGACTCTCCTAAAACGCCAATTTTCCTGGAAGCCAATTTTCCTAGGACAGTTTCCCAGGCCGCGAATTTTTCTAGAAGACTGATTATCCTGGGGCAACGTTCCTAGGAGGATTTCCCAGGATACTAATTTTCCCTGGGTGGCTTTCCTAGGACGCTAATTTTCTTGGGACGATTGTCCTAGGATGCCTACCTAGTAGGTTGTTTGGGGAACCCGAGGCTCCCAGGGTCAAAATCTGGCACCAGAGTGCTGAGATGTCTATAGAGGTTATCTTTAGTCTTTGGAACCCTGCAAATTAACGTGCCTAATTATCTCATGCAGGGTCTCACTGTGTGCACGCTCAACACTAAAATTGCCAAATCTTTTTCGCATATTTTTTGGCACGGGTCATGCGATAGAGCCGGATAGGGTAACGCGATGAAGCAACCCGACGATATAGATAGTCAGCGACGGCGAGAAAGGAGGGCTCTTCTTAATAAACGTTGAGTCTGAGGACAATGCTATTACGGTACCTGTAGCGCTCTAAACCCGCTGTTACGCAACTTTATTGTACTAATGTAATTAATTAGCATGGGGAAAAAATTAACAATTTTAAATAAGTATTCACGTTATTAGCACTTATGCACTAAGTCTTTGTAGGGGAGATTTTAGCCTATGTTGTTTGAATTCTAGTCTGAAGTGACTTAGTACCTGACCATATCTAATCTGTTTCCCTAGTACAACTCCCGATCCAATAGACCGCTAAACCTCACAACGATGCAAGAAATTGTACAGCGCCTCAGCACGCTGCAAACTCATTGCTATGGGCTCTCTCTTCTCGCATCTCTGTGTCTCTGCATTGCACATGCAACGATCATTGTAATCTTCTGCGAGGGTGAGACGACGGATGCGATCCGCTGTGTCACATTGCTTTTTCAATTCCACCGCTGTGACGAAGGCGTTGCTGCGATAGCAAGAATATTCGATTAGGCTGCCGCAGCAACCTACTACGGTAGTCTTGATTTTGCGCTGAGAGTTCGAGTTGCAGGCAAGATTATCGGCTAGCAAGCCGCCGAAATATGGTCAGCTGCGTAACAATTGGTAAGAAAGAGTCGCTGCATACCCTGGTGTTGGGACTCGATAAAACAAGCGACAAGGTAATAAAGAGTGCGAAGACAGTTTTGAATGTAGTCTCCATGTTGGATAGTTGGATCGGCATGTACAGAGGTCGAAAATGGCGACTGTGGAATACGAACCATGCAACGGTTGTTAAAAATCCCCTTGACAAGGTAATGGAGGACAATGGCTATCCGAAATTGAACTGCACTTATATTATCTACATCTCCAACTGACAATTCTCACTTTGAAGCGCGCCAAAAACACTGCTTCCTTTGCACGCTAAGCAATTCCAGGCTCTTGGGAAAAGCTGACGGCCCCCAAGGGGCTGGCACCACGAAGTCCCAAAGAAACCGGATCCTGTCAGGGCTATTAAAAATATGAAACGTTTGCTGCTAGCCTGTGGTTAACCTTATTCAGTACCTGTGGGGCGACGATCCGTGAATATAAATGTTAAATGTGGGGACCCCAGGCCTACCCCAGCACCATCACTGCTTAATCTTTCTGTGCGTGTCTCATCCATGAACCAGTTATCAGCACCATGAAATGAGATCAAATCTCCTTCCGCTCGCAGCGCCCTAGTAGCCTACAGGCAAAGGTCAAGTGCTAAGAGAACTAGTAGCATTCTCACTAGAGTGCCGCAGTCACGTTAACACTGGGATCCCTCCGTTGGAGGCGGCGCTTAACCATGGAGGAGAGCAATAAAAGCAACGTATTCCTTGGACATCCCAATCTGTTTGCAGTAGTCATGCATGGCTCTCACGATAGTCGCATGCATGTCACGATAAGTCTCATGTTGCCAAGACTTACCCCTTTTCTTGCATATATATAGACCCCTAGGTGCACTCCTCTAGCAATCAATCCAGTTACTCATATCTCTGTGCTCCCACAAGCTTCACACAATCCGTACAAATGATTCGCTCATAAGCTCGTCTCCTACAAACACATCCTTCGCCTACCCTTCCCAAACCGGAGGTCCCGGGGCCACAAAACCAGTGAGGTTCTGCAATCCGGTTACGTGAGCGGGCTGCCAAATGGCTATAACATGAACAAAATTAGCGCCGAAGCTAATTTTCAGTCGTCAAACGTACCGTGATCCCAGATGTCGTACGCACCCGGGAATTTAACCATTGGGCCAGGCTTTCCTGAGCGAAGATTAGCCCGGCCAAGCCGATAGCACGAGACGTCTTACCGCCACCAGGGCCATTGACTTCGATGTGTGCGCAGTTGACGTAAAATTGAGTGACGTTGAATTCGTGCGTGATTCCAAAAATTACCTCGAGGCGAAGGAGGTATTTTCCAGGCGGTGTCGTCTTAGGAAGTGTAAAATTCGCCTCAATGATGTTAGCACAGTTAGGTGGGATCATCATGGGAATGTTCAGCCAACCATGGTATGACCTAGGATCGCCCATTCGGTATCGTTTTTCGCGCCCATGTACGCAACCTTGAACCAATCGCCATCCCCAGTGTACGATTCTAGGTCCGCTGGTGCTCGCGACAAGTAAGCTTGCGCGAATCCAGGATGGTAAAAGGGGACGTCCCTCTAACTCATATCAGGAGAAGGATGAATGGGGTGATTTTTTACCACTCACGTCTTTGCCGTCAACCGTCTGAGTAGGAACGAACCCAATCTTATTTCCAGCGCTGACAGCCAGCGTTTCAACACCATGTCCCGTCATCGCGGCCCCTCTTCCACAGCGGATATTGTCGTCGTAGAGTTCATAAATTGGATTTATGGTTGCTGGTTGTACGCCGGGACTGCTGAAGCCTGGTGCAACCTGTCTACCATAACGGTTGTTGGCCCTTGAATTACATCTACAAGAGAGAAGAGGAAGCCTATACCTAACATATTGCCAGTTTTTGCTCACCGGGCCCCCGTTGTAGGATAATTTGGAGAGCAAGTCTAGGATGGTGAGGACTAGCAGCGCGCAGATGTGAATATGACGTACAGTGGGCAGTAACGCCTTGCCCAAAAAGCAGTAGAATGTTCAGCAGCAAGAAATGCATTGGACAGACAGAAGACTGGGGATATTCAATCTGAAGTTCGAGGTAAGAGAGCGTGTTGCGTAAGAAATACTGGAGCCGGCATCGCCCATCTACACAGATGTAGCAGTGATGGGTATGTACTCCTGCAAAGAAACATAGAACCGGGAGAGTTAGCCGGTGTATAATTCTTGTACGCGCTTCATTTGCTATACGAGAGAGTGCCCTGGGCCACTTGCATTCGACCGCTAAAACACCCCGCATCACGAGTCGCTCGCTGTATTAACTTAGATAGAAACCTCGCTAATTTCCCTAGATGGGCCAACATTGGGAGAGGCGTCCGCCATTCGCAACACACCCATAAGGCTAAATACATGTATGTCGACTCAGCCTGGAATCCTCCAGCTACAAATGGTAATTAGCGGCGCGGGGAAATGTAATATGCGGAGAGGTAAGGCAGAACTGATCTGCATTGTAACCTTAGTGGAACGACGCTCTCCTTAAACTACTTGCTATATCTCTTTCCTAACAACTTGTCTAAGCCTTGAAGGAGAGGATTCTTAACTAGATTCTTGTCAAGATGCTACACTTGTTACTGATACTCCTACATCTGTTCTGCTCCGGTGCTGTGCACGCAGAGACCAAACCTTCTAATGTCACCATCATAGAACCGACCTTCATCCGGTATTGCCCATTCCGGGTTAATGTCTCCCTAGCGACCGATCTCTCCTCATTGGATATCGCATTTTTGACGAAGAGTGCCAACCCAGGCCCTCCTCCATTAGGTGTCCACCGGTGCTATGTCCGCGTTCAGATCGGCTTCGACAAGACAGTTTACGCCTACACGATTAACGAGGTAGAATACGTCCCGGAGAATGCGAAGAGTATAACTGGGAAGATCGAGACAAGAGTGGCCTGGGAGTACGACAGCGGACCTGTATGTGTTTCTTAGATGGAAGATTGCTAGCGCAAATTAACTGGACTCTAGACTCAATTTACAGCGGTAACGCTCTCTTCCACATCTGGTGCGCAGACTGCCAAAAATATAACGTACGCAAGGGGGGCTGGATGCCAAGATGACCCGTTTCTGAACATTCTAGCCTCTTTTAATGAGAACGAGGTCAGACGCGTATCGGCAGCTAATCTGAAACTGCGCGCAAAGCTACAGTGGAGGACTCGTAGCTCTGAAAGTGACTGGTTCGCGGACAAGTTTTGCATTCAGTACGGCGATTGCAGGAACGTTGACGTCGATGGTTTACCGAGTTGGCCTGAGAGTTGCACCTTTCCAAACGGAACGGTATAATGGGTGGTGAGAGTCCCCGCTACCTAGTGTGCTAGATATAAACAAATTAACGCCTACTTCTAAATTTCTCACCATCCGGAGATAAGCCCGAACTATAATGTTATGACAATCAAATTTCACCAGTGGGGGGACTAAACAACAACCATAGGGTTGTGGTAAGACAAGGGACTAACCAAGCAGATGCCTAAGCCAATACCGGAGATGACTATCGCGCCCATCTTCTTCTTCGTCGCCACCAGAAGCTTCTACAGCATCTAAATAGGCAGTGCGAGGATGGTTATGTCCTCAACTGTAATGATGAGAACCTTAATTAGGTATGTGAGGTTCAGAGAACCGCACTTGCCGTGGATCCTCTTATCCTAGAAGAATCCGAGCGGTTGACATAGTACTAAGATGTGGATGATAAGTATAAAAGCACTAGCGACGCAAATACCTATCACACATCCACACGGTACGACAAAACCGTGAGCTGGCGAGCCCGAAGATCAAAAAGTAAAGATGCAAGATAGATATCTCTATAGCCAATGTAGCCATCATCCTATTTTCTATGTTAGTGACGTCATGAAACGACTGGTGTTTAGGCTATTGTTAAATACGCATACTATAGGATGCCACTAGATAGGAAGAATTTTCTGGCTGTAAAGACGGTCTCTACATCGTCCCATTTCTCTACAAGATCTATAACGTTAAGACTAGCGCCACTGTTTTGTACGCTAGTGACGTCCGTAAAGTATAGGTAGGAGACAAAAAAACACGAAAACCTAGTACTAGGTTGGTCAACAGGCTGCGAAAAAGCGTATACTTGGCTTACTAAAACTGCGAACAATGCCCAGTCATTCAACTCTAGGTTGCGCCTTCTAAAGTGGCGGGTCTAGTATCTAACAATAACGAGGACATGGTCAAGTGCCAGAAAGACGCGGTTAATAGCGAGCATCTTCCTCCTATTTTTATTTCTTGTGAGTGGATGGTTCACTATGGTGTTGATGATTGCGCTACTAGTCACGTATAAAGAGTGGGCTCGAAGCTAAAGGAAGGGGCACGAATTGCGAAGCTTAGGCGAACGCGTGTGTTGCCGGAGCTCTGTAAAAGGTGTACGATAGGAGGGGTGATAATATCAGAACTTAGACAAAAGTAAGAAAGTGGAAATGTCTAGGCATTGTAGTAGAATGAAGCGGCGATACTTGCATCTAAACTGTAATTAGCCACGCCATTATCTGTAAGTAGACTCCAGGTTCGAGCCTAGTTATCTAGGGTGCAAGGAGTAGTCGGACAGTGGAGATTGAGCGCGTATTCGAGGCATTATCGCGCAATTCTCCCATAGAAATAATACTTTAAAGCAGAACTAAGCCCCGCACACGCAATCTATATACAGCCGGCCATAAGCATATATGGGTGTTGCTTGGTATCACCTCATTAAGTGTCTAGCTTTGACGAACATATGAACTTAAAGCGTTCACAGGCAGAATGCAATAAGATCCCACCCCTTTGCTCTTAGACTTAGACTAAAGTCTGTCTATGCAGCTTATAAGCTGTTGTAATAACATTAAAGAATACAACTTGTACATATTCTATCAGCCTTAGAAATTCTTATACATACTTAACTGTCTTTAGTTCTAGCTATTCTATAGTAGTTTTAATCTTAGCTAGGCCTATTCTATATCTTTATTTTAATGCTATAAATCTTAAGTATTTTTTTTTATAAAGAACTTAAATTTATAACAGTAAGCCTTTTTCTTTTAGCTTCTATAGAATCTATGTACCTTCTTAGTATACTCTTCTTAAGTTAACTTTGTGTATACTAGTATGTTGTCTAGGTATACTGCTATAAACTTGTTAAAGTACTTATTTAGCGTGTTGCTAATTTTTATTAAAAGGTTATTAGCGTATTAGTAAGGCTAAATAGTATAATAGTATACTTATAAAGTCTGTTAGGATTTAAACTTCTAAAGGCTGTCTTCTATTTCTTTTCTTTTACTATTCTTAATATATTAAACTTATCTTAACTATATATTACACTTTATAAAATACTTTAATTCTTTAAGCTTAGTTATAATTTGCTAAATAGAAGGTATTAGCATTTTGTTTAGAACTGTGTTTTTATTTACTGTTCTTCTGTCGCATACAATTATCCGCCTATATATATCCTTCTGCTGTGCTAGATAGAAGGTTGATCTTTTAGCGACGCAACAGTTATAAGCCTGGTTCGCGTGGCGCGGATAGTTAGCGCGTGAGAATTTTTACTCCCTGCTCTACTAATAGGAACGCATTATCTCTAAACACTGTGTGTTTAATTCCCACGTTTAGAAAGAACATTTAGGCAGTGTGTCTATTACAGAGGCTATCTTGTTAGATTTGTCTCTCACGTTCTACTGCTTATGCTGGGACGGTGTGTTGCAGAGGTTTTTTCACCTCTCTTGTTCCACTGTTCGAGCTAGAGGGTGTGTCGCATACAATTATCCGCCTATATATATCCGTCTACTGTGCTAGCTAGAAGAGTAACCTTTTAGCAACGCATCTTCTTTTTTTATAAATACTAGCGCTAATGCTACTAGACTTTTACTTAGACAGATATGTCTCTTAGCTAGTTTCTTTATTATATATGCCTTTAGCGCCTCTGTCTAGAACTCTGTTGTTAGGCGTAGTGTACTACTCTTTAAGCAAGCTCTAGAGTTTAGTTCTATAACATAATTCTATAGTTTATGTCTAGGTAAAGCCTTACTATAAAGTTAATCTTAAAACATGTTTTAGAAGTTGCTATACTTTTCTAGTATTAATTTCTCTTTCTTTAAACTGTATATCTAAAAGATTATTTCTTTATTTTCTTTATCTAGGTTTATAGTATTTTAGCTTAATTTATTTCTCTTACTCTAGATAGCGCTCCGCTAGATTAGTTATAAAGTGCGTTTAAAAAGTTTATAGATAACTTACCTATTATTTAAATAACAACAAGATTATGTCTTTTTAGCTAGCTTTTTTCTAGAAGAACGTTATACTTTAGACTTGAAAAGGTAATACTTAATGCCTATTTTAGGTCTCTAGTCTCTTGTACTCTTAGTTTTTCTAGCTATGTTTCTAGCTAGATCTACTTATTTCTATATATTATACTACAACTAACTTCTAGCCTAATCTTAAATAGATTCTACGTTACTCTAAATTATTTATTATGTTTGTTCACCTAGTCTAAACTAAGTAGAGTAATAGAGCATCTACTATTAATTATTACACTTAGTAATTTTCTGCTAAACATAGCTTGTAACATACACTACAGGCAAGTTGCTTACACACCTAAGTTACTTACTTTTACTAAGACTCTACTAAACTACTTTTTTTATACTAATGCATTCTTAACAACACTACTTAAATATGCTAAAAAAAATTTAATATAGCTTACACTTTAAGCTTTTAAATAAAACATCACACTTTTAAAGTAATATATAGTAGCTATATATAAAGTTTTTTAAAAAATAATAAATAACTAACATACTAAATAACTTTTATAAGCTAATTTTATAGCTAACTTATAAAAGCTAAAAAATAATAAAAAGTAAGTAATTAGAAAGTATATACTTAAGCTATATATATATAAATTTTGTTCTTTTAGCTAGTAGCTGTAGCTAATATAGCTAATTCTTTACACACTAAGTATAATCTAGGCTATATTAGCATAAACTAGCCTAGTATGTTTATAAAGCATTATTTAAAGCTTAAAGTAAAGTTTTAAGTATAAGTATAGTTAGTAAATATTTAGCTTATTTTAAATACTATACTTAGCTTTAATATTCTTTATAAGGCTAAACTAGCTTTAAATTTCTTTAATATTTTTATAAAAAGCTTTTTTATAGTTATACTTACACTTGAACTTTACTTTAAGCTTTAAATAACACTTTATAAACACACTAGGCTAGTTTATGCTAATATAGCCTAGATTATGCTTAGCGTGTAAAGAATTAGCTATATTAGCTATAGTTACTAGCTAAGAGGAAATCCTTGCGCATATAGCTTAAGTATATTCTTAATAATTACCTACTTCTTGTTATTATCTAGCTTTTATAAGTTAGCTGTAGAATTAGCTAATAAAGGTTATCTAGTAACGCACACTATAGGCAAGTAGCTTATACACATAAGTTGCTTACTTTTACTAAGACTCTACTAAACTACTTTTTTTACACTAATGTATTTCTAATAATACAATGTAAACGCGCAAAAAAAATTTTAAATACAGCTTACACTTTAAGCTTTTAAGTAAAATATAACACTTTTAAAGTAATATGCTACAGCTATATATAAAGTTTTTTAAAAGATAATAAATAACTAATATGCTAAATAACTTTTATAAGCTAATTTTATAGCTAACTTATAAAAGCTAGGTAATAATAAAAAGTAGGTAATTAGTAAGTATATACTTAAGCTATAAATATAAGGATTTTCTTTTTAGCTAGTAGCTATAGCTAATATAGCTAATTCTTTACACGCTAAGTATAACTTAGCTATATTTGTTAAATAGGCTCTTTCAGCTAGCTGCTTATAGTATGAGCACTTAAGTAGCAAGAGTAAGAGTAGTGTACAATGTGCACAGCGTACAAAGTAGGTAGGGTGGGGGCAACACGTTTCTGGTTATTGCTCTGTCTCTTCCTCTGTACAGAGGAAAAGGGGAATATCTAGATGTTCGCGCACAGAGGTTCGCGCACAAGCATCATGTGACATAGTTACGTGATCCTTCTTGTGCGCAATAACTAGCATCTAGACTGTAACGCTGCTGCTGCATACAGACAATATTAGTATAAACTAGCTTAGTATATTTATAAAGTGTTATCTAAAGCTTAAAGTAAAGTTTAAGTATAACTATAAAAAGGTATTTTATAAGAATTTTAAAGTAATTTAAAGCTAGTTTAGCCTTATAAAAATATTAAAGCTAAGTATAGTATTTAAAATAATAACACATATAACTTTAATAAAATAAGCTTTATAATAAGCTAGATATTTGCTAACTATACTTATACTTAAATCTTTACTTTAAGCTTTAAATAATACTTTATAAACATACTAGGCTAGTTTATGCTAATATAGCCTAAATTATGCTTAGCGTGTAAAGAATTAGCTATATTAGCTATAGCTACTAGCTAAAAAGAAAATTCTTATATTTATAGCTTAAGTATATACTTAATAATTACTTTGTTTTTATTATTTTTTAGCTTTTATAAGTTAGCTATAAAATTAGCTTATTAAAGTTATTTAGTATATTAGTTATTTATTATTTTTTAAAAAACTTTATATATAGCTATAGCATGTTACTTTAAAAGTGTTATGTTTTATTTAAAAGCTTAAAGTATAAGCTATATTTAATATTCTTTTAGCACATCTAAGTAGTGTTATTAGGAATGCATTAGTGTAGAAAGAGTAGTTTAGTAGAGTTTTAGTAAAAGTATGTAACTTAGGTGTGTAAGCAACTTGCCTGTAGTGTATGTTATGTTAGTTATTTCTTATTATTTAAGAGACCTTGTACATAGCTGCAGCATGTTACTTTAAGAGTGTTGCGTCTTATTTTAAAGCCTAGAGTGTAAGCTGTATCTGATGTTCTTTTAGCGCGTCTAAGCAGTGTTGTTAGGAATGCATTAGTGTAGAAAGGGTAGTTTAGTAGGGTCTTAGCAAAAGTAAGCAACTCAGGTGTGTGAGCAACTCGCCCGTGGTGTACGTTACTGAAAACCACGCTGCCGTCCAGGTCAGAGGCCTTGTTCAAGTTATCTAGTTTCTTCCTGAAATCACTCTCTCTATCGTCATATTGCTTCCTCTCATCCATCAAGAATCCTGGCTAGAAACTCAGCTAATCTTCAGCCCACTCTCTAGTCTCCGAAGCAAGATCGACCTCGAATCCAGCTTTGGTGAAGATATTGTAAGGGTGCTCGGCCTCGCCAATGAAGACTGTCGCACGTGCCTCACGCGAAACTATACCCATGTACTGCGCTATTCACTCATTAGGACTAGCTCCTTTCTCGTACAGTATATACTCTTATCTCAGCTAGCTCAGACGTGAGGAGAGAACCAAGGACGCACAAACCACCATGCATATTGCTACTCTAAATAGAGTATGGCCTGGGGGGTTAGCAGTTTCTAACCCCTGTCAGTAGCGTTTCTCTCCTTAGCTGTCTAAGGGACTTTTGTGATTTTTTCTATAAATAGGCCTATTTTAAGAGCATCACAATAGAATTAGATTTACAATATCTCTACTACTATATGTCTAAATAGGCTTAGAATTTAATAGAATGTAGAGACAAGCTGTAGCTATAAAATAGTATTTTTTTTACTAAATTCTAACTATTATTAGCAGAGAAAAATTTAAACGCGCGCAGAACTTTAACCTATTTATACCCTAATTTTAGATTTATAGTATTGCCCTCCTAACTAGAACTTAACAACTAGTAGACTAAATTCCCTAGGCTTTTGCAGGATCCCTAACAGAGCTAGTCTAAGACAGCTCCTAGATCCTTAGAGTCCTTAGACAACAGCTAGTTAAGCTGCAGACATAAGGGCGATCGCAACGTCCCTAGACTACCATCCACTAGACTACAGCTTAACAACTAGCAGACCAAATCTCCTAGAATTTTGTAGGCTCCCTAACAGAGCTAGTCTAAGACAGCTCCTAGATCCTTAGAGTCCTTAGAGTCCTTAGAGTCCTTAAACAACAGCTAGTTAAGCTGCAGACATAAGAGCAATTACAATGTCTCTAGCCTACTATCTAGCTTAACAACCAGCAGCCTAGATCTCCTAAAATTTTGCAGGCTCCCTAATAAAGCTAGTCTAAGACAGCTCCTAGATCCTTAGAGTCCTTAGAGTCCTTAGACAACAGCTAGTTAAGCTACAGACATAAAAGCAATTACAATGTCCCTAGCCTACTATCTAGCTTAACAACTAGCAGCCTAGATCTCCTAAAGTTTTGCAGGCTCTCTAATAGAGCCTGTCTTAGACAGGTCTTAAATTCTAAAGATAATATATTATGTAGTTAGGGAGTTACATTAAGGTGTAGTTATAAGGTTATTAAAATGTCCTGCGCAGGACTTAATAGCGCAATACTCTGCTAAATCTTGTTAGAATTAGGTTACAAGAATGTTAAAATATAGCTAAAGACTGTCTCTATTACCTATTAAAATCTAACCTAGTTTAGACAAAAAGTAGTAGAGCTACAGTAATTCTTAGTTAAGCTAGTGCATAGTGGAGGAGGTTTAGAACCACAATATCACCTAAAAATCACAAAAGTCCCTTAGACAGCTGGGGAGAGAAAGCCTTTCTTATACCCTTATTAGCTAGAGAGATGGGGCTTGCGCCACTAAAGCTACTAGCAGGGGCTTGCCCCTGTCAAGGCTCTCTCCCCATCCCGTCTGAGCTTGCTGAGATAAATATACTCAGCCCAGAGCTCTCTCTCGCTCCTTAGATCTTACAATACACTGGTTCAATTCACCTTGTTTGGATCTCAATACCTTGTCGACTCGCCTACCCTATGACCCCTTCTCAGCTCATGCGAGAAAGACTCCAGTCTGGTGTCCGCCGCCCTCGAAGAGCTCAGCTTTGGCGGAGGTTACTGCAATGAGGGCGCGACGGGGAATTGGCATAGCTGAAAGTGATTCCCTTGCCTTGGATCTCGCACAAAAATCTGGAGGGTCTTCTCAATTATGAATTGAGATGTGGCATACCCCAACTGCTGTTCTTATACATCATTTGTATCGCCCGTACAGAGGCACGCTACTTGATTCCCTCGCAAACTTACTTGGCAGGGGGCATTGGTAATATGCAACTGCTTTATATCAGCATCCGCCCTAATCATCTGCCATTCTTGCTCGATGCTCGATGTTACTAAGCGGCGCCCTATCAGTAGCACAACTTCCGGGGCTGGCTCGCGATTATTCGCCCATGTCCGTTCCATATTCCTCGACCTTGTCGGTTGCAGGGGCTAATATCTTGATGTGAGGGGTTCCGAACATGCTGTCCATGCAAGCTCTTTTTAGTTGCACTCCTTGCTTACTGCACTACATCAGTAGTGTGACTGACTTGGTGTTTGCATACGTGGTAGCTCAAGGAGCTAAATAATGCATACATAGGAAAACTCCTAACTAGGGAACATACGGATGAAGAGGTCGCCTCCCACTTTCTGTATACACCCTTCTCCACTCATTCAGCTTTAAGCTCAGCTGATGACCCTCAACCGTGTCGTTACTACTCATGAAATTTTGGTAGCATCTAATAGCAATCTTTTCGCCGGTCACTGCCGCATATTCTGGCGCAAATGCCGCGTCAATGTTCTGCAACGGCAAGTAACATAAACACATCGCCTTCAGAAACGCCTCCCGAAAGTGACCATTTGCTTCATCAGCCTTGCACCACCGCTCCGCAAATGATTCCATATTCAAGCAGAAATTCTGCGGAATCGCCATCTTCCCTTGCTGCGCTGCTGCCGCGCCGTCTTCTTCCAGCAACGACAGCTTCAATTGCATGACTCGAGTCGCCAGCTGTGACACGATTAGAGTTGCTGCCTCTTCTTTCGAAAGACCATCGTCCAGCAAGGCCGTGGAAATTTTGATGAAATCGTCCCAAGGGGTTTCGGGTAGCGCTTCTTTCTTGATATCGAAGGCCTCGATGCGCAAGAACTGGACATGCGCCCTGCTAGCGATAGCCCAGAAGTCATCCTTCCGGTTGCCAAACAGATCGAACGCTAACCAGACGGCGCGATCCCACTGCTCCAAATCCCTCACTATTTTCATCTTCGGTAAGGCCCCCTTGAAGAAGAGGAACAGATGGTCGAGTGGCTCGCCCATGGCGCGGTACACGCGACCGAGTTCGAGTGCTATGTCGGTGAATACTAGCATCTCGCGCGATTCGATGGCCATATTTGCGCAGTCTTTGAGCCAGAAGCTAGCGAGGAGGTAGCGGTGCTGGAGCACTAGCTCCATACAGCGATCTTTCATGGCGAGGAGCCGCGAGAGCTGCATGTGCGGTTGGCAAACGTCGTTTCCTAATTGGCGGCGGAGTGGTTCAAAGGGATCACCGCATTCGGTACATAGCTGGTCGAATCCTGTAGGGTCTAGGATCTTGGAAAAGTCCTGAGAGTGTATTCTAATGTAGGCGTATACACTTAAGAACTGGTGTTTTGTGACCGAGGGACTAGCGAGTATCTGCTTGTAAAGCGGGCGAAACTATAGATCCAGCCACGAAGTCAGCACAGTCCTAAAAGTGAGGGTTGCACTCTTAGAATCAGCATAGTGGGATCAATCTCAGCTGCTACCTAGATAATTTTCCAATGACTTGAACATCTGAACATTGCCCAGATGGCATCTTAAAACTGAAGTACTTATGCACTAACTCCGAGAACGAACAGTGCGCTTCAAATTGGCTTTACTTACACGCTTATGGCCGGATGAGTCGATAGACTGCATGAGAGAGATGGCTTGGTCGTAGCGATTCTTGGCAACAAGTCTACTCAGAAGTGCAAAGAGTTGAGCTTGCTGGCGGGCTTTGAATCCAGTGTCGCCGTCGGGAGCAAGCGCGTATTTGTGGTAAACCTCGTGGATGTAGACCTATAGCTCCGCTTAGCCTGGATTGAATGTGTGAAGGATCCTATTTATCGAAGCGCAGCACCTCATTCTCGCTCATATTATATTGAGTGTTGGTGTACCCAGAGTATTTGCGATGGCAACCCACGAGCAAGGCTTGCCAGGCCTCTTTTTTACCCAAACGATTCTTCGTGCATGCTAGTAGGCCTACTAGATCACGCTCGACCTCAGTGACGCAGCGTAAATCCATCGAGTCGATGTCCCAAGTCTCTCTTGCCTCGTCTTGCTTCGGGAGAAGTTCTATGGGCGGCAGGATCCCTGGAGGTAGGCTCGATACTTTTTCAGCGAGCTTCCTCAGGTTTGGAGGCCCTCCTGCGACGCCCATATGCATATATAAAATGCTCTGTTCCACAAGCAGGCTAACGTAGTCGCGTGGCGTTGCCGCTTGGCTGAAGGCATGGCTGAGAGTTTGTTCTGCCGCAATGTAGCGGTTGTAATGGCGATGTTCCAACGCGGTAAATATAGCGGCTACTACAGGCGCAGAAGGGCCTTCTGCGATGAAGTGTGGAGAGATGCCAGAGTTGGGCAGATTAGGTGGAATTGATGGTCTCTTGGAATGTTAGTTGGTAGACTTGTATAATTTGTATTGTCTGCGCATAATGTAGTCTTACCTTGAATTTGCGTTTCCCATCCTCTCAGTAGGAGGCAATCTATTCGCGTTATGGTGAATTGCTAACAGTCTTCTTGTATTCTGGCCACGGAATGGAGAGCTCGCATTATATAAACCCGTAAGGGGCTCTTTGATTGGGTGCCTCAACGAAACCTTTTCCCAGAACGTCAAGCGAACGAAGGTCTGGGCAGCTGAAGGAAAAGAAAACGAACCCTGCAACGTCCAGATCCGCAATTCCTCACCACCTCTGGTTGGATGACACCGCCGTCCAGAACCCCTATTCAGAAACTAACAACTAACACCAACCTCAGCCGACTACCTACTAGAAACACGAAGTCAAATCCGTATCATCAGCTGGGGCTACAAGTTTGCGGTGTCTCACTTGGTACCCTGAGTCTGAATTCTAAAACTCAAATAAAATACAGTGGTGCCGAGAAAAAGTGGAAATTAGCTACACGATTCCCGCTAAACTTTCGCTTCCCCTAACACAACTCGGTAAATATATATTTCCTTGATTGGTTTTCTTTCCAAAACAAGAGGCTGTGCAAGCTACGCATATTATTAGCCGTCGCTCCCATCGACTTCACACAAACGCTTCCAAATGCATCTCCCCCTCAACAAATATTCCCTCATTATTCTAGCAACCAACGCTCTAACTGCAGTCGCCTCCCCTCGGAACGTAACTTCCTCCCTTCTGTCATGGAGGCCGAATTGGACGGTCGTCGACAGATGTGCCCCTAAGTTCAACCTGACGACAGCAAAACCAACAGCAGATCCGCTAGACACTGTGTTTCATGGATATGGCACCACCGACCTCGAGGGCCTCCCAATCTATGATTTTCGCGAATTTCTCGGCGACTGGGTCACCTCCGATGCCAAACTATGCAGCATTTGCGAATACAAAGACACAGCATTCATACCATCTCGTACGCTGGCCAGCTATCCACCCTCGTGGCCCGAGATTTTGCTCAGCGTGCTGTCTAGTGGCATTGCATTTCTGACCGCGGATAAATTTCCGCTTGCGACGTCATCTCTCGTGGTTGCGCTCTCCACAGTGGTGATCCAATTCTCGGCACATGCGTGGACAGTGTGGCAGCTAGTCCGCGCTCCGGATGCCACGCCGTGGTTGACGGGAGACTCGTGGATTCTGTTACTGGTTGCCAACTTCAAGATATGGCACGCAGCCGGGGTCATGATTACGGAGCAAGAGTGGGTGACGTACGGCACCGCAAAGCCGCGTCTAGGGCTGAAGACATTGCGATGGGCGAGTGCGGGCGGAATGGGTCTGACTTTATGCATTGGGATTTTCACGGGGGGTGTGGCCATCGTTGCAGTGGTGAAGCCTGAGCTCCGGCTTTGGAGATGCGCTTTTGATTTGGTGGAAGAGGTTCCGGTCGGGTGTACTGGGCTGCCTCCGAGTTTACCGTCGCCGTATCACGACCAGGCGTTTCGATTCTTCGTTGCAGAGACTAGTTTTTCTTGGGTACTGCTTTTCGTATTGGCATTTGTGTTCTGTGGAATGCAGCGGAAAAGAAAGGGAGGCGGTGACGGTCCCTTGCTGTCATCAGCGGTTGCGGCGGCGCTTGTCATGTTTGGCTGGTTTCTTGTTATGAAGCCAATTGAGCTAGCGCTTGCGATCAAGCATGGGAAGAAGGGAAATATTGTCAAGGCATTTGACAATTGCTGCGTTGTTCTGCCCACACTGAAGTACGGTGGGTTCATTGACAGAGTTGGCACACTGTTAGCCGTCTTTGGAAGGGGTTTTGGCGGATTATAGTCCCGTGACATTGGCGAGTTCGTTGCGCCCTTCTCAAGAAGGCGGCTGTAGTGGATAGTATATTTATATTGGCATCTTGTGTTATTGCTTCACGGGCGCGGTTCTTAAAAGGATTCAGGCTGATATAGTTCAGTAGCGGAATTCACCATTGAAGATTCACTCTTTCGACAGCAATCCACGTGGACAGAACTCAAGGAAAGAAGGACGAGAAGACCAAGTAGCACATCAGGAAACGGCCCTCGCTCCTCCATCCTCCATGCCTACCACGTCAGGCACGCCAAGTCTCAGCCTGGCACCTCCCGCCCTTTTTCTCGCTCAACGTTAAAGCAGCGGCAAGGCTGAGGAAATGGGAGGAGAGTGAATGAATTCAGCACGGCACCCTGGTCTGTCGGAAGACTCAAAACGCACCGTCTGTCATCTTTCGGAGGTCACTGTTATTGTAAGGGAGCTCGGGTGTCTGGCGCTTGCTGTCACCCTGGCGGCAGTGTACGTAGGGACGGCTCCCCGGTTGCAGTCCAACATCAGGGATTACTTGCCAGAATATCAGCAGCGACGACGTGAGCTGCTCGCACGAAAGGCAGAGAGCTTAGTGCACCAGTACAGCAAGAGTGTGCTTACAACATAGGAGACGTCGCATCGAGCTATTGCTGAGCAGTGTCCTGAGGCGTCAGTGCTTATGGCGATGCTGTCGTTCTTGAGCTCTGACGACATCTTCTTGGGGCTGTTCAGCGTTGACAGGCACAGGCAAGATGCAAGGCGACTTGACGACAGACATGACGCAAGCTAGAGACGCCTCCTCTCTCCGGGTCAGAAGTTAGACGTGTAAAAGATTGAAGAGTGCTTCTGGATGCTGCAGAAGTACTCGTGATGCAGTGGAAGGCAGACCAACAGAGCTATGCGATGCACAAGCTGGTGCAAGCGTGGGGATTCGATCGGCTGGCTGACCGGAGATGAGCAACGCAAGATCACCCAGGCGGCATTTGGGGTTGTTTTAGAGGCAGTGGAGGCAGTAAAAGGCAGCAGTATGGTGCCGGAAGACAAACTAAGGGCGGTGCCGCATGTGATGGCAAACTTCGAAGCGCTGGGTGGCGGAAGCAGAAGAGGGAGAGTGTGGAAGGAAGTCACAGGGGCTTTACTAAATGATTTAGAGGAGTTAGCCTATTCCTACGCAATGTTGGAAAATGGTCAGAAGAGCAAGCAGTGCAAGAGATTGTATTAGATGAGAGGAGGCGGATCCTTAGAGAAGAGCATCCAAACACCATCACGGCGATGAACAACCTCGCTGCCAAACTCACACAGCAAGGGCAGCCAGACGAGGCAGCCAGGATATTCAAGGAAATGCTAGAGAAGATGAAGCCGATCCGAGGAGAGGAGCATCCAGACACTAGGACAGCCGCACAGAATCTTGAAATTGTGGTATAACATCAAAACATACAGCAAGACTTAATCTATATCGCACGTATCTCACGCGACACTATACCCATATACTACACTATTTACTAGCTCCTTTCTCGTACAGTATATAGTCAGCCCAGGGCCCTCTCGAGCTCCTTAGACCTTACAATGCACTAGTTCAATTCACCTTCTTTGGATCTCGATACCTTGTCGACTCGCCTACCCTATGGCCCCTTCTCAGCTCATGCGAGAGTCTGCACAGCTTTTAGAAATTCGGCCGTGTATATAGCTTCCTTATTTACGTGGCTTATAGCTTTAAGAGTTAAACATTACTTATAGTTAGTTGTGCTACTTATAATTATGAAATAGACCTGGACTAAAAACTGAATAAAAATGCTAAGGGCCAAAATTGATTATTACGCTATAATGATTAGACATTGTGTAACGCGTTGTCCTAGACTTACTCAAGTACACTGACCGTAGACCACGACTTCAACTACCACCATCACCACAACTACGACTACCACCACGACCACCACTAACAGAACAGGTTTCTCCACTTCCTAGCTGTGCTTAAGGTATTGATGCCCCAGCCCGGCGACTGCGCAATTGATTTTGATTTTCCTTTGCAGGGACGCGCACAGGCTCTGCAGTTCCGCCGTAGACTACGACTACGACCACGACTACAACCACCACGACTACAACCACCACGACTACAACCACCACGACTACAACCACCACCACCACTATCGCCACTAACGCACTAGGTTTCTCTACTTTTTGGCTGTGCTCGAGGTATCAATGCCCCGGCCCAGCGGCTGCGCAGGGCGAAGTACTACCCGTACATCATGCTCGCTAGGGTCGCATACTGCATACGCGTGTTAGGCGTTAAGAAGCCACTTTAGTTTTCGAAGCGCAACAAGCAGACAGATAAAAGAACTTCTAAGCATTTCTTAGCTAAAAGAGTAAAGTATCTGCTTCTCGATTATATAGTCTAATAAGTTAAGTACTTAGCTTGCAAGTGTATAGAAAGTGTGTTGCGTTAGCAGACAGCAACTTAGATCTAGGGGGGGCAGCACTTGTAGTAGGCTTACTGCAGCAGTTGTTGCTGCTAGCAACACAGGAGAAGCGCGTAGTAGTGTACTACCGCATTAAAGAATAGTGTTAGGGGATAGTAGAAGGTTTTAGCTGCAAATACTATTACACAGACGTTTTAAATTGCGCTAAGCGGGCAAAGTTATAGCCAAGTGGGCAGAGCTATAGCTTAGCAACATTAGGCTGATTGTAGCTCTGCTAGCGCTAGGGACAGCAGTTAATTACTCTAGGGTAGTATATATGTACTACTTGTAGGGATACTATAGAGCATAATTAACTTCGTATGAGAGAAGAGGTGTAGAGAGCGAGCTAGAGAGAATATAGACTTAGTTGTTATCTATAGTAGATAATAGTTTTACAGAATAAGAGTTGCTTACGCATAGTAAAAGCTTCTATAGGCAAGCAATGGATATATTTTTAATTAGCAGCATGTAGAAACAAACGTTAACAAACAGAGTCTATGTAATAGAGGCGGAAGCTAAGCTTTTAACACTGCTAGATTAGTTAGAAGTGTAGTGCGATAGGTACAAACGTCTATAATTAGTGATAGTGTAGTAAAATACATTACCCTGCAGCAGATTAAAGCAGATTACAGCAATTTACAGCAATTTACAGAAATTTACAGAAATTTATAGCAATTCGCAGCAGACTAGAGGAAATTACAATAGATTACAGCAATTTGCAACATATTATAAAATTTGCAGCAAATTACAATAAACTATAGAAGATTATAGTAAATAGCAGCAAAGTGCTGCATCTTATAGTAAACTAAAGCAAATTGTAGTAAAGTACTGCATTTTATAGTAAACTTAAGCAAATTGTAGTAAACTTTAGTAAATTATAAACTATAGCAAGTTAGAGTAAACTATTATTAAGCTTATCTAGTGTGTTAGTTATTTATTTAAAAGACTTTATACATAGCTGCAGCATGTTGCTTTAAGAGTGTTACGTTTTATTTAAAAGCTTAAAGTAGAAGCTTTATTAAACATTCTTTTAGCGTGTCTAAGTAGTGTTATTAGGAATGCATTAGTGTAGAAAAAGTAGTTTAATAAGGTCTTAGTAAAAGTAAGTAGCTTAGGTGTGTAAGCAACTCGCCTATAGTGTACGTTAGAGAATAGACTACTTCTTTATGCTAACTATTTATGTGTTCTAGTAGACTTGTTGCGATGCACTTAACGTATTTAAAACATCTATAACTAAGTATCTTTAGCCTACCTAAGCGCTGCTAAGACCTATTAGTTACTGTTCTAAAAGTACTACTAGAAGAGTATAAAAGCTACTTATAAACAATATATATAGAATTACCTTCTCTACTATAAAGCTTATCTATACTCTTCTAATCTCTAATGAAATAATGCAGCACTTGTGTATTAACTTTAAGAATTTTTTTAAAGATTAGTTTAGATATAGCTAAATTATAGTTATAATTAATTACTTATTTAAATAAGCGATTTTTATTTTCTACTATAAAATAATTAACGCTTAAAAACTAGCTACTTTATTTATTTAATAAGTGTAATATTTTAGCTACACACTTAAAACTATTATCTTTAACTAAAGACTTTAGTTTATGTCTAGTTTCTAGTCTAAATTTTATTAAGCTTTAGGTGTAAAAGTTAAACTTTCTACTGCTTATTATAAGAAAAAAGATAGCTAAACTAAGATTATAAATAAGTATATTAATTAAAAACTACAGCCTTTTATGTTTTTTAATAGGATAACTAGAGTTTATTACTACATTTAATTAATTAGGCTTATATAACTCTACTTTATGTAATAATTGAAATGTTTTTATATTAAATCTTATACAGCTTTAAACTGTGTTAAAGCTAGGATTAGAAACATTCTATAGAACTTATTACACCTATAGATAAGTTAAATCCTAAGAATGCTCTAGCATTAGCAACCTGCATGCACACAGCCTAAGAGTTAGCTAAGACCTAAATAGAGAAGGCTTAGAATTAGATAGAAACTATAGTTAATAGCTACTGCTAGCTAGTTAACTAGAAGGTTAGAAACATAGTCTATCTAAACACTAAAAACCTAGCTGTTTAGTAACCTAGCTAAAACCTATCTAATAAATAAAAGAGCTTTTTTAAAGTATTTAAATAACTTAGAAACTTTCACTGCTTTAAGCTACCTTTAAGATTAAAGTTTTATAATATATTTTCACTAAACATACTGTGTAAGGGATCTTAGAATCTTTTGCTAAGACAAGAAGCTTTAAAACTACCTGCTATTGCTATTAATAGAGTAGAGAAGTAGAAAGTTAAAGAAATACTAGTTAGCAAGCTATACTAGAAAACGCTTAAGTACAGAGTAGAATAGGTAGGGCATAACTCTAACCCTGTCTAGTACAATGCCTTCAATTTTATAAGTTCCCCTTATAAGCTAAGAGCCATCTATAATAAATATCTAAAATAACGAGGACCTTCTAGGGCCTTAAGTAAGTGGATTAAAGCCTTTAAGGTGTAGAAGTGGAGGTTAATTACTGCAAGCAAAAGATGTTAACTGTATTAGCATGCAAAGCCCAACGATAAGCTTCCCATCAATTGTTGTACTTCTGTAAGTCCAGGTTGTCTTGGTCTTGGCATATGGAAACTCATGTTTTCTTAGAATTGGATACCCTTGTGGTAGGCTCTGGGCTCAATTGGTTCCCACCAAGCAGTTCGAGACATTTGGGATCCGTTGGACATTCAATACTGGACCGTTCAACATTGTGGAACATTCTGTCATCACCGTAAGTAACCCCACCTCTCCATATACTAGATTCTGCGCCATGTTGATCCCACGTCACAGCTTATGGCTAGAATATCTATTAGCTACGCCTACTCCACGGATGCACTGGCACCACTCCTTGGGAACCCATTTTACAATCTCCCAATGTCCTGGGGGTTTCAGTTACTCTTCAATTTGAGTAGCCAAATCATTGGCATAGCTTTTGGTGGACTGTTCCGGCGCTTTTTAGTGGGTCACTCTGTAATTGCTTGCTTTAAATTCTGAAAAGCAGCTGCTTCTTGACATACCCCAGGTTTGACCTGCAGCTCTTATATGCCCTAATCAATTCGCAAATACGGCGTTACTCCATGCGCTTCACGATAATAGCCGAGCCGACATGTCAAACGTCAATGGTTGGACCGTCCCCAGGTATCGATATTTCTGCTACGTCATGTTGGGGATGTTCATGTATTATTAGCTCCCCAGTGTCATCTGGCAGGGACCGAGCGTATTTGCATTCATTACATGGTATGGCCTTCCCCCTCTACGCACGAGCAGCGTTCCCAACCGTACGTACTACGACTCGTAGATACGTGAACGTAGCAGTCACGTGAGCCGTTGAAACGTAGGAGGAGTGTGAGCCGTAACGTACGTAGGAGCCAGCTCCCATTACAGACCGTAATACGTCTTAGAGAGACAATATTTCCTAGTAATATAAGGTCTTATTAGACAGCTATAAAGACGCGTTAGAAGGGTGTTTAAAGTTATATTTTTAAAGTAATAATTAGGTAAAAACTCTATAACATACTTTATAGGCAAGTTGCTTACACACCTAAGTTGCTTACTTTTGCTAAGACCCTACTACACTACTTTTCTTACACTAATGCATTTCTAACAACACTACTTAAATATGTTAAAAGAATGTTAGATGTAGCTTACACTTTAAGCTTTTAAATAAAATGTAACACTTTTTAACTAACATGCTATAGCTATTTATAGGGTTTTTTAAAAAATAATAAGTAACTAACACACTAGATAACTTTTTTAAGCTAATTATATAGCTAACTTATAAAAGCTAGATAATAATAAAAAGTAAGTAATTATTTAGCATATACTTAAGCTAGATGTGTAAGGATTTCCCTCTTAGCTAGCAGCTATAGCTAATATAGCTAATTCTTTACACACTAAGCATAATATAGGCTATATTAGCATAA